CGCGCAGACCGGGGGTGGGGCTTGCGGGCCTCTCGGGGCTTTCGGGTTGGACTCTTGGAGGCCCCCCAGAAGGCCTTCGGAGGGGTCCGGGGGCCTCCGCAGGACCGCGGGGACCTCCTGGAGATGTCCAGAAGATCGAGCATCAGGGGTTCTCTTTGTTCCCCAACTTGTCTGTATCGGAGGTGAGGGGGTGAGATCGAAGTGGAACGGGTAGCCCCCCACCGGGAAATCGGTTTGAGCTTCGGGTTCGCGTCGCGAGTGCGGGCGAGGCGAAGCTGCGCGGGCGGGCGAGAAGAATATACCCTTCTCTGGCTGGGGCGCGGCGAGGACGGAAGTCCGCCCCACAGGTCCCGGGGATGTCCCGCCGTAGTGTCGTGACGGTGTCCTTGGGTGTCCCGTGGTGTCCCGCGGTGTCTCGCGGTGTCTGTGTCTCGCGGTGTCCTGTGGTGTCCCGTGATGATGTCCATGGTGTCCCGTGGTGAGCCGCGGTGTCCCGCCGTGGTGTCCCGATGGTGTCCCGATGGTGTCCCGATGGTGTCCCGTGTTGTTACGTGGTGTCCCGTGGTGTCCCGCCGTGGCGTCCCGTGGTGTCCCGCGGTGTCCCGTGGTGTCCCGTGCTGTCCCATTGTGTTCCGTGGTGTCCCGCGGTGTCCCGTGGTGTCCCATGTTGTCCCGCGGTGTCCCGTGGTGTCCCGTGAGATCGATTTTCATCAAACTGTGATCGATGATGAGATTGATAGTGAGATCGATGGTGAGATCGATAGTGAGATCAATCGTGGGATCAACAGTCTGATCGATAGCGAGATCGTTTGTGAGGTCGATTGTGAGTTCGATCGTGAGATCCATAGTGAGGTCAATAGTGAAATCGATAATGGGATAGTGGTCGATTGCGAGATCGATAAGGCGATCGATAGTGCGATCGATAGCGAGATCCTCAGTGAGATTGATAGTGAAAGCGATACTGTGATCGATTGAGTGAGGTGCTGGTTCCTCCATCCCCATCGAACCTCCTTGTCACCCGAAGGGTGGTGGCCGTATAGGTAAGGGAGAGAAAATGCTTCAATCGTCGGCTGAGGGAGCCTGGGCATCCGAAATCGGTGGTCCATCGTAGCCCTCCATCGTGAACTGTGTGAAGTTGTTTCAGGGTTTTCTGAGGCAAGGGTGTCATTTTTGGGGAGCCCGCTTCGGACGCGCTCGCTTCTGTTGGGCCTCACCCAGGCGCCCCTCGGACCTCAGAGGAGGAGAAGATACCGATACCGCGTTGCAGCGGCCGAATTCGCCTCGGAATCCTGGTAAGAGCACGTCCTGGGAGAGGTCCTGAGAGTACCGGTACTCCTGACCTTACAGTGTGCCAACACATAAGCCTTCAGACCTAAAAACCCATCAGGACTGCCCACGTCCTCGACCAGGATTCCCGTTCAAGCCCCGTGCTATCTTGGCAATGTCTTGGAAGACCGCAGGGATTTGTCGGATATGGCTCCGCATGACGACACCTGTCTGCACTTTTGCTCACAGGCGCAAGCGAGCCCCGTGGCGAGACGCAGGGAGCAGAGGAGGAGGGGGGAGGAGAAGGTGGCAGGGTCCTGCCCTCCTCCCCTCATCCCCTCCTCCCCTCCTCCTCCTCCTCCTCCTCGTCCTCCTGCTCCTCCTCCTCCTCCTCCTCCTCCTCCTCCCCCTCCTCCTTCCTTCCTCCTCCTCCCTTCCTCCTCCTCCTCCTCCTCCGCCTCCTCCTCCTCCTCGTCGGCCCGCAGAGGATCTGCGCGGCGGCGCGCGGCGGCACGCGGCACGGGCGTGCGCGTGGCGCAGGCGGGCGCTGGACCGCAGTGGTCGCCAGCGAGAGTCTCCTGAAAGTCCGGTGGCGTGTCTCCTCCTCTCTCCTCTCCTCCTCCCTCCTCCCCTCCTCCCCTCCTCCCCTCCTCTCCTCCTCTCCTCCTCTCCTCCTCCTCCTCCTCCCTCCTCCTCCTCCCTCCTCCTCCTCTTCCTCCTCCTTTCGATGCCGCCGATTCTATTCGATTCTTTGTCGATGGATTCCGACTCCGATTCGATTCGATTTGGGATTCTGATCTCGGCTCCGATTTCTCAAAGGATGCCCGCTAGCCTGCCGATTTCAGCCGATTTGACTTTTCCCGACTCGTCTGCAGATTTCCGCCGATCCGATTCATTTCGATCGCCGATCCGGCTTATGCATTCGGTTCCGGGGGCGCCTGCCCCCAGGGTTCGAGTAGGGGATCGATTACAGAACTGATTTACCCCAGAACTGATTTTCTATCGAGTCTATAGTCGATCCCCTACTCGAGGGCTCCTTGGGCCGCCCGCGGGGGTGCGCCAAGAGAATCGCGCTTTGGGCGCGTTGCGGGCGGGGCAGGAGTTCTGTTCTCTCGTCTCGGAACACAATGGCTATACAACGAGGGCAAAACCACGGGATTCCCCATGGGAGCAAGGCGTCAGACAGTCACACTAAGCAAAGGTTCCGGAGCCGGATCCCCCGCTCATCCGCCCAATGTCGAAACGCGGAATGATACATGCTCGTTTGTTTGTTACAAGCCCTGGCGAGGAGGAGGAGGAGGAGGAAGAGGAGGAGGAGGAGGAGGAGAGGGATGATGATGATGATGATGATGATGATGATGATGATGATGATGATGATGATGAGGATGAGGATGAGGATGAGGATGAGGATGAGGATGAGGATGAGGATGAGGATGAGGATGAGGATGAGGATGAGGATGAGGATGAGGATGAGGTTGCTGCTGCTGCTGCTGCTGATGATGATGATGATGCTGATGCTGCTGCTGCTGATGATGATGATGAAGATAAAGGTGATGATGATGAGGAGGAGGATGATGAGGATAATGATGATGATGCTGATGATGATGATGCCGCTGATGATGATGTTGATGATGATGCTGATGGTGATGAGGATGATGATGATGCTGATGATGATGATGCTGATGTTGATGATGATGATGATGATGCAGATGATGCTGATGATGATGATGATGACGATGATGATGATGATGATGATGATGACGATGACGATGATGATGATGATGATGATGATGATGATGATGATGATGATGGTGATGGTGATGGTGATGGTGATGGTGATGGTGATGGTGATGAGAGGAGGGAGGAGG